TACATTACTGCAATCGCTGTGAAACGCGATTACCGTTGACCGCGATTCACAAAAAAACGAGTGAAACCGCGGTTTTAATCTACTTTACCATGGCACGCGGTTCATAAAAAAACGCGGTCCCCCGTAACGCCTAGTTTCTCGCGGTTGAAAAACTCACCGCGATCCACCGAATTTTTATGCGAAAAAAATACTCATGGGTACACGATATATCAGAACACCCTCTATATAGACATCTGCGGACATTTGTCAAGAAGTGAAAAGATAGATATTCTTTATTTGATACGGCTCTAATAAAAATTTTACCCGTCAAGAAAGAAAGTGTTCTTTTAGCTTGCCATTTTTTCCACTGTAACCAGACGAAAAGATGAAACAATATGAAATTTATGCTGAATACTCAACTCTTTATGCTCTATCAAATGATCATAGTTTGAGGAGCAACGAAAGACTGATTTTTTGACAAATCACGTATTAAGGCTGCTAACCATAGTTCTAGAAATGATAAAGGTGAGAATTAATTAAAACTCTACCATTTCTGTCCCAATTTTCAACAAATACATATTTCAGATCGAGCAAAGCATAGCTATAATTGAATTCTTTCTGTAATGCGCTCTACTAATAGGCTTTTCCCAAGGCGAAATCGAGTGCAAAAGTTGTTGTACCGTCTGGGTACGATGATTTATATCATTAGGAATCTAAAATCTTCTGCTATAAGTTATGAAAGACTCATTAGCCATTGCTTGAGGATGCAGACCTTCTTAATTTTCCAAAAAATGCTTTAAGTGTTTACATCGTATTTATATATATGTAATGGGCGCAACAAAAAACGGTGATCAAAATATAATAGTCATTCAGTTAATCAGTTTTGCCCATCATGAATCAGGTAATAAAGTACAAATAAATACTGCACACATAGAGCTATCGGAAAATTTGTGTTATCCTATACTATACATAAAGGATATAATACATTTTATTTTAGAAGTTCGACTTCTTGACACAGCTTTTCTCAATCATAATTTAACTACTGAGGTATTTCAGCGCATGAAAGTTTCATGATGAAACTTCTTTCAGACTTCGCAGCTTGATGTTAAATGCCATGTTTCATCGGAGGGAATATAATCCATGAAGGTGAACTACACTTGTTTTCTATTTCACTTCTATTAGATATTAACAATAACACTGTATTAATGGAAAAAGTACGCCAAATTACTTTATGTGATCCACAATCTCCGTATACACTCAAATTATTTCTCTTTCTTCAATCTAACTGTCCCAGATTGCGGGAACTATGGTTTTATGGTTTTACGCATTTGAATGATCATGTTTTGCCGACGAATATTCAATTATCCAAGATAAAAATGTTGTTAATTGCTTATGATGAAACATGTCAATATAAATCAGTTAGACGTTTACTTTTATTATTACCCAACTTAAAAGTATTAGCTATTACTCACCAGTTGTTATTAACGATATTCAATGACATATGTCAAGACCAACATATACGAGATACAAGATGCAAACAAGTCTATGAATTGATTTTAGGTTATTATGATTATCAAAATCAAATGAAAAATGAGGAAGACGAAGTTAGACGTATATTTCCTAATTTAAAAGTGTTTGACTGTTGTCTTGAATAAATATGGTGCATTCCCTGTATGTGTCAGCAGCACATGTTTCTGACACTTCCGTGTCCTCTATCTACCGAGGTCATTTCTTGTTGGCAAAAGTTTTCATTGAGATTCAAAATGCAGTACTCATGGAAACAGCTTGACATTTCTAGATTAAAAATGAAAAACTAGTGTTTAACAAGCCAGGTCATATATCTATGCATGACTGTATAGATCAATGCGCTCTATTCTCTACTTTTTACCTATTTTTTGCGTTCTTTTTTCTAGTCAGCATTATTGTTGTTGTGGTCGTAGCAAATTGTGTTATTTCTTTCTTCTCTTCATTTTCTGTTATTTTTTGCTTTGAAATACATAATATTGAGTCCTTTTTTGTTTCGTTCTGATAACTGTCTTAAACTTATTCTTGCGTGAGAAATGAGCCGATTTGAGAATGAGAATTATTACTTAATTTATTAATTAAAAAAGAATTTTAATGGTTAATTTTAAAGTCAAAAAATACAAGTTATGGAACTTTCATTCATTTGCATCATGGACGGAATACTTGTTCTCTCTTTTAACAATCTCATTCGGTACATTATGGAAGTCATGGTGTTCCAGGAATAAGCCTTTTTACTGCGTAGCTGAAGGAGAGTAGAGAAGTTAACAGAAAACAGCAGGTCTCTACACCTGAAAACATCCAAACGACCGAATTATTACTTCCTTACAAAACCCAGAGGAAAATTTGATAGAAATCATGGAATTTAAGTACTTTCTCTTTTTCTAATTTTCGAATTAAAGTCGACAGAGTAAAAGAAAATGTGATATTTTCAAATGATAGAGTTAAGGTTCGACAATGGAAAATAGCAATTGGGACGTGTTACACAGTAGTAAATCAGCAACAGTTTTACATTGATGATAATGGATGAGAACGATGAGGATAATCATGAGAGAGAGCAAGAGACCAATCATAATGGCAAATATGCCGATGCTGTCCGTGATTATAAAAACCAACATTTTTTATGCTGATTAAAAAACTTATGTTACAAGAAAGAAACAAGAACGCATAGTTTAATTGCGTGATTTGATCAGTAATAAGTTAGATGAGAAGGAGAAGAAAACTCAAAAGATAATTATGAAAGTGAAACATGAGCGATGGTGAACATGTGTGATGCCGATATAATGGTTAATAAACAAGGTTTACACCGGCTGAATTTCTCCCAGAAACAGTTTTAAAGTATACTGTGGCAGGACATAGGAAAACTCCTTTGTTCATGCACTCGTCATTTCTTTTCTTCGTTATTACTTTTTCGATATGTGTGAGAATTTAATAGAGGACTGTCAACTGCAAATGTTCACACACATCTATGCTGTGGAAAATAAGTTTACTCTGGGAGAACACCGGATTTTTCCGTTTTTTTCTGACAAAAAAATTGAATATTTTGGGAGAAAATATGGATCAGCCGCTTCCATCTGTGCTTCGGGGCGTAATATTTGACGAAAAGACTTGTTGACGCAGGAGATTAGCCGATCTCCACAGGAAACATGATGAGTCCATGAAAGCAGTTGGGCTAGGATGAAGAACCTTAGAACAGACATTGTGAAAAGGTCAATTCCTCTTGTCTCTTGTTCAGTTTTTGCTCTGTTTTTTGAATGGGTTAGAGTGACAAGCATAGTGGTACTGACTTCGCACATACACAACAACAGTTGTTTTGAAACGAAATTGCTATTTTCCATTGTCGAACCTTAACTCTATCATTTGAAAATATCACATTTTCTTTTACTCTGTCGACTTTAATTCGAAAATTAGAAAAAGAGAAAGTACTTAAATTCCATGATTTCTATCAAATTTTCCTCTGGGTTTTGTAAGGAAGTAATAATTCGGTCGTTTGGATGTTTTCAGGTGTAGAGACCTGCTGTTTTCTGTTAACTTCTCTACTCTCCTTCAGCTACGCAGTAAAAAGGCTTATTCCTGGAACACCATGACTTCCATAATGTACCGAATGAGATTGTTAAAAGAGAGAACAAGTATTCCGTCCATGATGCAAATGAATGAAAGTTCCATAACTTGTATTTTTTGACTTTAAAATTAACCATTAAAATTTTCGTTTTCTTTCTTAATTAACCATTATATCAACATTACCCATGTTCACCATCGCTCATGTTTCACTTTCATAATTATCTTTTGAGTTTTCTTCTCCTTCTCATCTAACTTATTACTGATCAAATCACGCAATTAAACTATGCGTTCTTGTTTCTTTCTTGTAACATAAGTTTTTTAATCAGCATAAAAAATGTTGGTTTTTATAATCACGGACAGCATCGGCATATTTGCCATTATGATTGGTCTCTTGCTCTCTCTCATGATTATCCTCATCGTTCTCATCCATTATCGTCAATGTAAAACTGTTGCTGATTTACTAGTGTGTAACACGTCCCTTGCTCTCTTTTATTTTTGTTCAATATTCTTAACGGTTTACATTTACGTTTTGAAGAACGACTTCACTCCTGGTGTAACACGAAACTACGACATATTATGTAATGTACGAGGTTATCTATTTTCGGCTGGAGGATACACGCTGTTTAACTCTTATTGCGTTCAGGCTGCCAATAGATTGTTTCGAGTCGTATTTTATCAACGGAAATCGTTACGGAAACCTTTTCTACATCTGGTCTTTGCCATTATTCACTGGATAGTCTCGTTTGTAGTTATTCTGCCGTTTTTAAAATACATGCGCGAATTACCAAACCTCTATTATTGTCACATACCGTTCTCTAATACATCTGCAATCATGTGTATCGCGTGCGTCGTCTACAGTCTCCCATTAGGGATACTTTTCATCATTTATATATGGATTTTTGTTCATATACGACAGGCTACCGCATCGTTTGTTGCAAAAAACCGTCGGTTGATCAAAATTAAACGAGAACTTGCCATGCTCCGAACAGTTTTAATACCAGTAACCAGTCTCTTTCTACTCGGCATTCCATCGATTACATTTATATTCATGGCTATTAATAAAGAAGCGCATTTTCTTGCCTATCGAATGAGTCTATTTTTTGGCGCATTATCCAGCGCCATAATCGGTATTCAAACATTACTTTTAGCAAAGAAAATCAAACGTATTTTATTCAAGAATTTCAAATGACTCCGCGGACAATGAATATCGTCACGGGCTGCGGTCTACGGGCCGGACCGGTTTAAAAAATGTTGATGTGTATACCGACCGTCCTAAAGTCGGAGAAAGGTCTCGAAATTTTTTCGTGATATATACTCTTCGTAAAGGCCTGTAATTTAAAAATAAGCAGCTGATAAGCTGCTGGAATATAAGCTGTGCTTTTTACTGCTGGTTATGGAGACCTAACGTTTAACATAAATAAAAATTATTACTTTTTAATTTTAGCTAAACGTTCACATTTTACACAAATTTTCCTCGATTTTAAGAGAAAGTCTAGAAAATTAAAAGAAATCTCAGTAATCGGAGAAAATAGGAACTTAGTTTTCTCCAAATCGGGGAAAAAGTTTTCATAAAGTAGGGGGGCTACCCCCCATACCTTCCGATCGCGCCGCCACTGGTATCTTGCCGTCTATATATATATATATATATATGCATAGATATAATATCATACATGATAATAACACCCATACATGCCAATGCGTCCTACACATGCAAGTATAGATGCGTCATGATAGACGAATTTCAGAAACGGAGGATTCCAGGATTCGAGGATCCCACAATTATAGTATTCGAGGATTTCAGGATTCGCAAGCAAATAATCAATCTGCAAGTATTTTTTATTCTTCCAGCCCGCTACATACTGTCCAATGATACCATTTTGTAGACAAAACGAACTGAAAAGTGGTTAGTATTCAGACCAGTCGTACAAACTAATTTATACAGACTGTGAAACGCATAATCAACGTCACATGTCCTGGAATCCTCGAATCCTTCAATTCAAAACTATCTAGCAATGCCGTCGCTCGGTTGGAATGGGGTAACTACATCTCTGTATTTTTTTCATAAATGGAGGCTGCTTCTTGTCGCCAGCGTCATAACCTGATTGGATGATAAACTTGAAATATATCCTCCTGTTTAATACTGCTCTTTAATATTTATAACAGTCAAAGTTATTCTACATTTTAAAGAGTTTAGATAAATTCCACAAAAGACTACTCACTCTCACAACTGATTAGCGTTTGGTGTCCATTCTGTCGGTCTCATTGTGTAGCGAATTTCACGGACTACAAGAACGTGATTAGAAAAAATTTTAATAGTTGACAACATGCAGACGAGGGATGCTTTTCACTTCGACATTGTATCGTACCTTTTCGAGAATATTTTTTGAAATGTTACGCCATACTTGATGAAGTGTAGAAATGTTTTAGTAGAGCCATTTAAATCATCCAGTAAAATTTGAGAAAACGCGTGCAGATAAAATTTTATTGCACGGCTCAGCTGGATGAAAGCGCATCACTTTGCGGAGAAAATTCTTTTCTATATTTCAACACTTGTTTGTGGGTTATTTTCCTTGATACATTTTCTATATTATTTTTGTACACAGAATTTCTGTTTACAAATTAATTTAGAAAATTAGTTTTTTTACATTGAATTACATACATAATCCAATTTTTGTAAACTTAACAGTAATCATGAGAATCTATTTGTCTTGTAATTATATCACCTCATACGTATATATTAAACTAACACCCACATATATATCTGAGCTAACTTATTAAACTTGTTACTCTCGACTTAATGCGATATTAATCGATCAAGTTGACAAATTATGCATTAAATTCACAGTGAGAGAGAAAAGAGTGAAAACTAAATTCACGCTAAAATAGAAAATTTATTCTTTTTCATTTCGTTCATTAAAACGGAAACGTTCTTATATCTTTTAGAACTACTATAAATAAGATAATAAAATCGATGGAATTGAGACAGAAGAAAAATCAAGTGGCATGTTTAAGTTCTAAGTTGAACTATCGTGTTAAAAAAAACAGAATATGGTAAGGCGAAAGAAACAGGAAG